TCATTAGTCATACTTCTACTGTTATTATACACATGACTATTGTCACACATGTATACTGCCAGATATTAATACATACTTTCAACATATTGTACCACAGTAGCCAGAACTATAACTATAATATTATTACTTTCAATAATGTTGTTGTAAGCTACTGTCATTACCTGCATCTCTCTCTCTCTCTCTCTCTCTCTCTCTCTCTCTGTCTCACTGTGTCATGCGGATTACTGTTAATTTATTATGCTGATCTGTTCTGTACGACATCTATTGCACGTCTGTCCATCCTGGAAGAGGGATCCCTCCTCAGGTGCTCTTCCTGAGGTTTCTACCGTTTGTTTTTCCCCGTTAAAGGGTTTTTTTTGGGGAGTTTTTCCTTATCCACTGCGAGGGTCATAAGGACAGAGGGATGTCGTATGCTGTAAAGCCCTGTGAGGCAAATTGTGATTTGTGATATTGGGCTTTATAAATAAAATTGAATTGAATTGAATTGTACATGTTCCAGATGGCAAAAGCCTAGTTCAGTGGTGGAAAACCATGCGGAAAAGTTGCTATTCCAGCACCGGCGACTGCCTACACTGTGAAGCAACCCAATACAGGAATATGGACTTGTCAAAAAGAGTCTAAAATAGAGTCTGACAATAAACAAAATAAAACACGTGTCAATATCAGCAAAGTGCTTCAGAGAGGGACCGAAAATATTGCTAATAGTTTAGCCTTCAGCTAACCATAGCTGAAGGCTCACAGCTGCAGCTTATTGAAGTCCATGTTGATGTAGCTAACTAGAGTTTCAAACCCCACAGTATGCTATCTCAAAGGGTTTTACAGGCACAGATCTTAAGTCAGTGGCTCAAGCAACTTGAATTCAGCAGGTGGACATCCTGACTCCCCACAGAATAAGCAAACCTTTTATTGCATTTGCATAGGAGGAGGGCGTATTCCAAAATTCTGTTTGTTTTTTCTTTTGTTTTCCAGAAACCTGCATACCACAGCTTTAACTGGCGAAACACTAGCTGACTTGTATCATGAAATAGTCACATGAAATGCAATGTGCTTGCCAGTGAGATTAGCACTACTGCTATCACTCATCAAAAATGGGTCTACACAACAAGACAATGGTCATTTTCAACATTTGTTGACAGCGGATCAGTTTGAAATATTGCAGGGAGTGATGGAAAAGTAAGGAGCAGCCACAGTGAGCTGTTAGATGGAGTGCTGCAGGTGAAAGGCTGCAAACCTTCAATTTCTTAGTGATGTAACTCCTTTCCTCTTTTAACATTATCAGGTTACCTATTACCACTGGGCTTAATTAAAAGTATTGCCAATGGGCACTTTTGCTTTTTGCTTTGCCACCAAATCCTTCATCTAAATCCACTACTGTCTTGTTGGTTAACCCTCATTTCTCTTGTCATGTGATTAGTGAAATCTGACTCCTGCTACTGTGTCCTGTGACTGCTGCTGCAGCTGTATGGAGCAGAATCTTGCAGTTTATAGTTGTAGTTTCTGTCAGTGTTGGCAGTAGCAGAGTAATGTAATGTAACAGGTAGATGCTTGAACACAATGTAACCATGGTACACCGACCACTGCACCAAGCTTAAAAGAAAACATAAATATATATATATATATATATACAGTACAGGCC